TAAAATCAAACCACTTAAACTGGGGAATCTGGAGTCTGGCTGGGGAGCGTCAATTCACACTGTGGCGTTTGGAGGAGGCTCAGCCTCGAACAGGTGCTATCCTGCGTGGATTTCCCTCGTCTCTTCTGTCACGTGGGAATAAGAGGACGCTCAGAGGCTGGGCACACAGCGGAAGCTCAAACGAGCTGGGGCCTCCAGGAACTCTCTGTTCCTCCTGCTCGGCTTTTCTGCCTGGTGGTGAGCTCTGCATCTGGGGTCCTCTGCCCCATCTTCTTCTCTTTCCTGCCTTCTCTGCTCACAGCCTTAGGGGTGCCAAGCTCTTGAGAAGTACACCACCTCACCTCTGCCAGGCCCTCTCTGCCCACTCTACCCCCCCTCCAGGGGGCACGGTCTCTCTGTCCCCTCCCAGCTGGGTTTCTTGTGTCTCTTGTGCTCTACCCTCTTCTCCCCAGTGATCCTTGAGCCTCCAAGAGATGAGTGTGTATGGACACACGTGTGGCTCACCCCCTTTTTTTTTTAAGATAAAGATCTAGGTGGTGGTGGTGGCGGCGGGGGCGGCGGGGGCGGCGGAGCACGCCTTTAATCCCAGCACTTGGGAGGCAGAGCCAGGCGGATCTCTGTGAGTTCGAGGCCAGCCTGGTCTGCTGAGCGAGATCCAGGACAGGCACCAAAACTACACAGAGAAACCCTGTCTAGAAAAAACAAAAAAAAAAAAAAAAAAAAAAAAAAAGATAAAGATCTTACTGACCCTGAAACTTGCTGTTTTAGTAATTCTGACTGGCCAGCAAGACCCAGGAATCCTGTTTCTATACCCCCATATGACTGGAAATACAGATGTGCTGCACCCGGCTTTTATGTGGGTGCCGGGGTCCTTGTGTTTGTGGAGCAGGCACTTTATCCACTGAGCCACCCCAGCCCAGTGAACCTCCAATTTTGACAACTAAATGGCCCATCAGACTGTTTTGTCCAATAAAATCCAGGCTTCCTCCTGAGAGAAACTCTACTTAAATGTTTAAAATGACATATTTCCTGCGTGCCCTGTATTTACCGAGCGCTGAGTATGTGTCCGAGGATCTGAGTGAACCAGGGACACAGATGGAAGGTGCGGACGCCATCCATCTGTGTCAGGACTGTATTGTCCAGCTCCCGGGTGCCAGTGTTGGCCGTGATACCTGAGCCTTGGCACATACTTCTCCAGTATGGGTACTGTCTGACCCGGCAGACTTACCTCAAGATGCCGAGGATGCCATCCCAGTGGACTTGGGGCATGAACACACAGCAACTCACTCTCTCTCTCTCTCTCTCTCTCTCTCTCTCTCTCACACACACACACACACACACACACACACACACACACACACACACACACACACACGGCCCCTGCTAATTCTTGCCTTTGATGGCAATCTCTGGCTTGTCATCATGTTGACAAAGCAAAAAGAAAAAGAAAGGAAATCCACCCTGTCACTCGGACCCCCCCATCCCTGCCCAGCTTGGCAGCCCCCCCCCACCCCCGCCTCTGTATTATGAGTTTGTGTCAAGGTATGTTGGATTCTAAATTAAATGTCAGCCCACTGTACATTTCTGGCTCCAGTGCAGAAAATGAGGCGCTGGCGCTGGAGACCATCCAGTTGTTCGGTTCCCCGCGCCTAACCACGAGGGTGACAAGCCCACTGAATCACTGCACAGTACCTTCCTGTGCCAAGGGGAGCCAGGATGAATTTATTTTTAATGATAAATGTGACTGTCAGAGGTGAGCTGAAACCGCTTTACCAGGAGAGTGAAATGCCCTGGGCAGTGGACGGGGAGAGGCGGGTGGACGGGGGCCAGAGGTCCTGACCTCTTGGCCAGCTGCCCCCAGGCCTCCAGAGACAGGCACATTGGACATGCAGCCCACGTTCTGGAGCCCTTCATGCCGGCCCCACAATGCTCTCCGGGTATCTCAGGCCGACCAGGAAGTCCTGAGACTTGGAGGAGAGATCCAGCAGAGCAAAGCCCTGGATTCAAATTCTGGATCTACCAACTGCTGTGTGCTCTTGGTCATGGTATTTAACCTCTCTGCGTTTCAGTTGTCTCCTCTTTAAAATGGGGGCATTACTACTACTCACGGGTCTTGGGAGAGGAGACAGTGAACTCTGCTGATACTCCCAATGAGTGGCGGTCAGCATGCGAGAAATCCTTAGTAGACGACGACTGCTTATTAATTGCATTGCTTTCACTGTTAGGTAAGTTATTTAACTGTGTTTCTGTATTCTGAAGACTCATCCATGAAAGAGATTAACAACAGCTTTGACCTATCGGGGTAGCTGGGAGAACCTTGCCCCCCACCCCCACCCCCGCACAGGGCTGGATGGAAGGGTGATGCTCCACAGGGTGCCAGTCCTGAGCCGGCACTGGGGTGTGCTGTCACTCTTGGTCCCCAGAGTGACCCTTCCTCGTCTCCTCATCGTTCACATTTGTCCTCACCGCCCATCCTCTAGCCCTCCATGTGAAAGCACCCAGGAGCCACGTCCTCCCACTGAACTGTAGTGAGGTCCCTGTGGAGGACAGCTACCTCGGGTCAGCTGACAATCGGTGACAATCAAAGGGAGGGCTGGGCCAGACCCTCTCTCTAGAATTTCAACTAAAATTTCCAGACTGTTGCTTCCTGATGGCTGGAGTCATCACACCCAAGGGACTTTGCGAAGAAGAAACAGGACCCTGAAGAGGTGGTGAGCCAGCGTGGAGGGACCAGGTGCCAGGCAGTTCTGGATTAAGTCTTTGTAGCTTGTGAGGACTGGTTCCTGAGCTGGCTAACAGGCTGCTTCCACGGTGGCCAGGATGCGAGCACAGACTTGTCCCTGATGCTGAGGACCCGTCCGCCTTGTAAAGAGCATGGGGAAGGTGTTGGTCTGCTTTGTGGCCACTCCCCCTCGGAGCTTCCGGGTTGCTGGTTCATCTCATCCATAAACCCCCTGGGGCTGACGACCTTGTGTGCACGGAGTGAGCGCCGTGTGTGGAGGCTGAGTGTGCTCTTGCTAGCCCTAGCCCACCACTGATGCTCCTGGGGTCACCTGAGCCAAGAGCACCCCTGCAGAGTGGTGATGGGGGGAGGCTCACGGCTCACCACCCCCATCTGCACCCCAGCGGGCAGGAGGATTGAGGACTCTTCCTGAGTGGGTGCCAGGTTCCACCAGCAGACACTGCCAGGAGGAGCCACTAGGTGGCCCCCGCTTACCTGTCCTTCGGCGAGCCCAGGAGCAGATGTCCTGAAGTGCGCACCTGCTCAAGTTCATGGTTTCTCCCACTCAGTGCCAGGCTTCCGGGGTCTAACCATCAAAGCAGGGTCCCTGAATCAAGTGCGCCCGCCCCAAAGGGGCTGACTGCTCTGCTTGTGTACCCTGGGAGGGACCTTTGGACCCCTCTCCCCAGACTCCAGTTCAGGATCGCCCAGGGGGATTTTTAGCGCACACCTTACCTGGAGTCAAAAATCCTCTCCCGGCAGGCACCGTGGAATCAGAGATCCCTTCACCTGCTTCCTGTGAGGGGACGGGGAACCCCATAGTTCTGCTCCCTCCTTGCTTGCTCAATGAGGAAACTGAGGCTCTGAGAGAGCATGAAGCTGAGGTTAGAGCAGGCAAGTGTGAGCTTTCCTCAGATGCTTATGTACAGACCTGCCTCAGAACCCCAGAAAAGGCCTTCGGAATGAGGTGCTGTTAACCCTTTGGATACAAGGGGAAACTGAGTCAAGAGAGGTTCAGAGGCCAGTGACCACACAGTCTTCTGCCTAGGCCTGAGATCACCTACAACCCCCGTAATTGATGGGGTGGGGGGCACAGGTGCATCGCATGGAGCCGTCTGCTAACCCCAGCCTGGGGTCACTGGGCAGTAGCCCCGGCAGCTTGCTGGTGGGAAGCCGGGCTGGGACTGCGGGAGGTGCCAACCAGCCGCAGCACTGGAAGTTCGTGCAGACTGTCCGACCCAGTCTCCGGCTGGTGACAGTCTGGGAGGGCATGTGGCCACCGTGCCTAGCTCCAGCTCCGATCCCCGGGACCGCTCTGCCCACGACAGGCTCGGGCCCCACCCGCACGAGGCCTGCCCCACGCCTGCCAGGCGCCTAGAGGGACGAGACGAGGGACGAAGACGGGGCGACAGACTGGCAGCCGGTGGGAGAGAGAGATGGAGACGGTGCCAGGGAACAGCACGGCGGCCAGAGCGCCCGGAGCCGGAAAACAGCTTTAGGGAGTAGCGGGGGGTCTGGGCGTCTCTGCGGAGCTGGGGGAAGGGCGGCCGGCGGGGCCCGGCGTGGGGCGCGTGGGAGCCACGCGGTCGGAGCCACAACAGCAGCTCGTTAACCGCGCAGATTAAGGACTTTGTCAATTACCTCCGAAGGCTGCTCGGGCGGATTAAACGCTTTAAAAAGTGCGACTAGTGGGAGGGACGACTAAGAAGCCCCCGCTGGGGTGGCTCAGATCCCTCCTCCCGCGGTCGGGACAGCTCTAGGCCAGCTTTCGGGGAGCGCGTCGGCGGGGACCCGGGATGGGCGGGTGCCGTGGGGTGTGCAGGAGCCCGGCTGCGGAGTCGGGGACTCGAGCACGAGATCGCCGGGCTGGAGACTAGCGGGCCACGCGCACACTTGACCCGGGACCTGGACCCCCGGAGTCCGGCAAGGGGGGCACCCGGTCTCCTCCCAGCCCCCTTTCTCGGGGATGATCCCGGCACCTGGGGACTTAGGCGAGTCCCGCCCGAGAGGAAGTTTGCGCGGGGCGCCGCAGGACGCGCGGGCTCCTCGGGGAGCCGGTGGCTGCCGTCGCGCCGGCTGCTGCTGACTAGTCCCCGCCACCCGCGGCCGGGCTGGAGCGGGAGTCACTCTTGGAGTCCGCGGGGCGCGCGTGCGCGTGCCCGGGAGGCCGCGGGGAGCAATAAAAGGCCCTGAGAGTCCGAGACGGAGAAGACGCGGAGACTGAGGCGGGAGGAGGAGGAGGAGGAGGGCGGAGGGAGGAGCGCGCGGGAGGCGCGGGAGCGGGACGCGGGGACGGCGCGGCGCGGGCGGCTCTCGGAGGCTCGCGCCCGCGCTCCCCGCGATCACACGCGCTCACACGCAGCCTTGCTGGCGGCCGCCGCTCCCGGGCCAGCCCTGGTCCCCGGCACCAAGGGGGCCTCCCGCGCGCGGCGCACCGGGTGCACCCCGCGCCTCCCTTGCGCTCGGCCGCGCCCCGCGTCCCCGCGGGTCCTGCGGGAAGATGGTCCACGAGCGGTGGAAGACCGTGGGCGGCGCGTCCCAACTTGAGGACCGACCGCGCGACAAACCGCAGGTACCCACGGGCACGGGGACGGGTGCGGGGGCTGGAGTTTGGGGAGCTTGGGCAGGACTGGGGGGGCACCTGCTCTCCTCCTCCCTCAGAGGAGACTTGAACGCGGGGTTCCCTGCAGGAGGCACTCGCTGCAGCCGGTCCCCACCCCCATGGGAGACCCCCGTGCTCGCTCACGCAGAGGGAAGAGGGGACCTATAGTTGGTTGTGGAACAGCCCTTCAGTTGGGGACAGCTGACAGATGATCCGCGTGCCGAGTCCCGTTCGCCCACAGCCACAATGGGCGTCCTCCCCACTTGCCAGGAGCCCCGCGCATCCTCCCGGGCTTCAAGATCAGGACCTGCCGCCCCCCACCCAGGGCTGCCTCCCCCCCCCATCTCTCTCTTTATCAAGACACCCAACCCAACAGGGGACCAGAAAACATTAAAATCCTGTAAGAAGCCTGAGCACTGTGCTTCTCCGACTTTAAGACCAGGAGAGCAAGGCTCGGAGAGGTCCAGCTGCCGCCTGAGGCCACGCAGCCCTGCAGGGACTTGAACCCGGGTCTGCCGGCTCCTCTCTCCCTACTGCCTCTTCCGGGACAGCGAAGTGTCCCGGCTTGGAGGGTGCCCAGGGCTGTGCACTGCGCCAGCTGGGACAGAGCAGGGAGGGCCCACTGAGGGGCCGGGCATCCAGCCTCGGAGGCAGAGGAGTGGCCGCAGGTCTGCCCCAGGCTGAGCCATCAAGGGACTGGGATAGACAGGCATGCTGAGGAGGCCATTCGCCAAGGAGAGCAGATAATGGGCCTGCCCGTTTTAAATTTTAAATTTCTCCCAGACAGATGTCACTGGGGAAGGAACAGGAGCGTTTGCCACCAGAGAAGGAGGGGGTGGCCAAGGCCCGCCCCTCACTCTTCAAAGCTGCAGCTTTTCTTCCTGGAGTGACACTGGTCTGTCAAGGGGACCAGCTCGCTACCGCTACCGTTTGCAAAGCCCTGATGCTACCTCACTTCCTAGTCAGAGGCTCTTTGCAAGTATACACTCCCACACCACAGGACCAGAGAGGTTGAGGAATATGCCCAAGCCACACAGCATGCAGGCCAGAGAGCAAGGACTCGACTGTGTCTAACCAGTCCCTTTCCACGGCCTTCCTGGGTGATCTGCCGCCCTTCCTAACTGTATTCCTACCTTCACTGTGACCTGGTGACAGGGCCCTTCCTGCTGATATCTTAAAGAAGCAGCGATAACTTTCAGGCATTGTCCCCAAGGCTGCCCTCCTTTGGTACCTTACGGTCCTGGCTGCTTTTTTCCCTCCCTGGGCTCTAGCCCACTTCTAGAGCTGTGCTCTCTCATTTGATTGGCACCGTCAGGTCCCCAACACACTCCGACCCAGGGACACCCTACCTGTTCCCCACAGGGCTGCAACGAGGCAGTTTTGTTTAAAGCATGCCCCTGGCTCTAGATCCCTCCTCCCCTCTGAGTTCCCCCGGACCTGCCCTATGTCCCCCTGCCCAGCTTGTATTCCTTCCCAGAAGCCCAGGTCCGCTGTTTGATGCTTGGCCAAGAGGAATATGGGAGAGGAGGGGTGGGGACGTCTTGGGGAGTCCATCACCAAATAGTGAGCCAGTATGCACCAGGCTGGGTCTTGTGCCTACTGTGTGCTTGGACCGGAGGCCAGGTCTTTCCTGTGAGCAACATGGAGAGAGAAGGGGGTGGAGGGAGAGAGGTGTACCTTCGCTCTCTCGGGGCCTTCTCCATTCTGGCTTTATCGTGGTCTCTGACATGCCTGCACGATTCTTGCTAAGCTGCTGTTTCTCGCTGGTGCATCTGTAAAATGGGACCGACCGGCCCCCGTCCTTCCTCACCTGAGCTAACAAGGAGTCGGGGGAACTTCTGGTGTATTTGCACCCCTCAAGGTGCTGTGTGCCCACAAAAAGGCTGGCTCCCCAGCAGCTCTCCTCTTTGCTGCCAGGGTGGGATACATGCACACTGCTGTTCCCCCAAAGGAGAACTGACCGAGACTGCACCCCAGCACCCCAGCACCCCAGCACCAGGCAGCGGCGCCCACACCCTTGCCTCTCACTTCTCTTCACAACTCCCTAGGAGGCTGGCAGATATAATAGATGAACCACTCCTCTACCTCCACCCCTACTTCCACCCCCACCCCCGCCACCCCCACTCTCAGGGACCAAACCAGTGACCCGAGCAGACTGGGCGAAGGGGAAGGGGAGGGGGCCTGTGTTCTTCCCTGACCGCCTCTCTTCAGAGCTTAGTCACTTGACTGGGGTGAGTGGCCCTCACCCTTCCTCACGTCCAGGTATGGCCACTCCTGGGGACCTCCGTGGGCCTGCCCCGCCTGGCTCTGTTCCCGAACGTCTCCACACTGCATGTACGACCTTGGCCAAGGGACTGACTCCAGCTTCATGAGGCCATCTTCCTGTCCCCTGCACGGGATGGGTCTTGTGTGCCTTGGGGCAGGAAGACGCTGCGGGGGGGATGTTTGCCAGGTGTTTGGATAAGACTAGAACCGCACACCGGCTTCCGGTCCTGGAATGACTGACAGAAGTCACCCCGAACCATCTCCTCAGAGGGAGTGGTACCTTCTTGCTGAGGGGACCCCAAGTCACCTTCCAGCGGTCAGCCTCCCAGCCATGCCCAATCCCGTGTTTCAGTGATTTCAAAACTTCTAGAAACATTCCAGAAAGCAAGCAAGCTATTCTGTTTGGGAAGTCTTTCCTGAGGTCTAACCTTAATCCTTGCCGAATTTAATTCACTCCATGGCTATTTATGGAGACCCTACATCACACCAGGAGATGCAGCCCACGCCTCAGGAAACACGGAGTCCCCTGGGGACAAACCCAGAAGTCAGGCACTGCCACAGGCCATGGTGGCTGCCACACGAGAGAGATTTCTCTTTCTTCTCATTCAGTAGAGTTTCGGAGGTCACCACATCAGATTTGGGGTGAGAGAGGAAGAGACCACTGGAGCCCCCCACAGTCAACTGTCCCTTGAGTCGGCATGGCCTGCCTGAGGCTCCTGGGCCTGGCGGAGGGGGCAGGGAGCTGAGAGGGGCCTGGTAGGTGTGGCCCTGGGGCGGGAGCAGCCGACACCCAGTGTGTGCACTTGGGGCTGGTCATGGCTAAACTTCTGGTATCTGGGGCCTGGAGGGGTGTGAGGGGCCAGTTCCTGTCTGCTCTTTGTTCAGGCGGGGGGGAGGGGGTGACCCTCAGTGACTGAGGCAGGTGGTGAGGAGGACGCCAGGACCTAGGGGCCCTTCACAGACACCCGTGGAAACCCCTTGCCAGCAAAGCGAGAGCCAAGCCGGAGATCCCCTGGGGAGTGTAAGTTTAGGTGCCTCGAGCCTCTAGGTGGGACGGTGCAGACAGCGCCCACATCATCTCCATCACCTTGGACACCTTCAGTGGCAGCTCCTAGCACCTTCCAGAAAGCCGGGGCACCCCAGTTCTCCAGTGCAAAGTCAGCAACATGGGTCCACCCTAAGTGCAGCCACAGCCTCTGACTGAGGCTCCCAGGACGGGGAGCAGAGTGCTGTCTCCTGACACCCTGCCTCCCTGGCCCATGAGAGACCTCCTCATTCGGGCTGGCAGCCAAGATAAGGGTCTCTGTCTAGGACCCATGGGACCGGGCCACCAGGGAAAGCAGAGGGGGGGTGCCATATACTGGGATGGGGGGGGGGGTTCCCAGGTCCCTTGGTATTGACTCTTTTCCTCCAGGTACCCAAGTTGTTCTCAAGGGCTGGGGACTCCAGAAAGTATACTGGACAAATGTCACCTCCCAATAGAGGTGTTCTGGGAGGCTCCTGCAGGCCCTGCAGCCTTCCGTTAGACAAGCACTTGATTTTTTTTTTTCAATTTACTTTGTGTGGTGGGCATCGGGGTCACGTGTGCCACAGCACGTGTATGTGAGGTCAGAAGACAAGTTTTAGGATCCGGTTCTCTCCTTTACGCGGTTCCAGGGATTGATCTCAGGCTGCCGACCATCTCACAGGCCCGGCCACTGACCCCTCCTGCAGGGGATCAAAGACTCCCCTCTAGCTGGGAACATGGAGGCCTTCAACCCCATCTCCTGACTCAGGCTCCAGGCTCCTTCTAGGCACTGTTCCTTGTCCTTGGGAGGCTCCGTGCTGCCTCCCCCCACCCCCACCTTGTACGGGAGGGTTGGGGTGCACCTTGCTCTGCCTGGCCAGAGACTGATTAATAAGCTCCAGCCCGAGGCACAGCGCTGGCCGCCTGGCCCAGGCCCCCTTATTATCTTGGGCGATTTCTCTGCGAGGCACGTAAGCCGCAGCCTATAAAAGCGAACAGCTCTTCATCTTTAAAGTTGATCTCTAAAGACTAATTCTCCTCCAAGAGCGGCCTGCTCCATCTCTGAGCTCCCATGCCACACTGGCTCCAAGGGGACCCCGCAACTCCCTCCACTCTCCCCATCTCTGTCCCCTCAGCCCCCGCTCCCCTGGGACGACTTGTGCCCAATCCGTCAGGATGGAGTCCTGAAGACCCACCGGGAGATGATGAGCCTCTCTCCAAGCTGCGGGACTTGAATGCCACACAGTCAGAGGACGGGCCTTGGAGATGCTCCGGGCAAGGTGTCTCCTGATGGGTCAGAAGCGAGTGTGTCTGCACCTCGCTGCCAACACAGCTTTGTCCCTGCAGCCTTGCTCAGCAGGGGAGGACTGTTGGGGGACACTCACCCCGCTGTCTCTAACGCACCCCCACCCCTGTGTTGCGCCCTGAGCCTCAGTTTCACATCTGCACAATGAGGTGAGCAGCGGCCTTCCCAGCAGGGGCTGCTCAAGGCTTCAGAGGAGGGGACATGGTGCCTGGCTGTAAGGACCTGTGGGCTGCTGGGCCGCCTGGGGTCGGGGGCTTGCAGCCCGGGGTTGCCTCCATTCTGTGTGAGCCGTCATAAAGAGGAGGTAGCTCTGTCTCAGAACCTAAGGCGCGGGCTCTGCCGGGAGGTCCTGAGGCTCTGTGGTGCCAGGTGTCCCAGCTTGTCCCAAAGGCTGGCCTGGCCCACCTGCTGTTTCTGCTTCTGTGGACCCATCCACGTCACCGGCCAGGACTCAGCTGTGCCAGGTGGTCAGACAGGGGCCCAGGCGGGTTTCCTTCCCATGGATTACCAGTCCCCGGGTCCTCAGAAACCGTGTCCTCAGCCTTTGTCAGAGATCCCAAGGGATCATGTCCCCAGAGAGGTTGAGAATTAAGTCATGGACACAGACTCCCCTGGAGGGGACATGGGCTCTGAGCGAGAGTCCCTGAGCCTGGCTCGTGGGGCTGGCGGTGAGTGGAAAGGTGATGGAATCTGTCTTGAGAAGCGCTGGGGGAGAGGCAATCAAGGAGGGCTTCCTGGAAAAGGTCACCCCAGCCCCTGCTCCTCTCCTACCAAGAGACTCAGGAGTATTGGTGGTATTGGGACTTGTGGGAGAGAAGCAGCTACTTCTTAGTAAATGCAATGGGTGTTTTCTGTATGGCCAGGAAAGCAAGCCGGCAGTCAGCTACACCATAAGATCTTACCGCGTGTGAGAAAGGGAACGTGTCCTCCCAATGCAGAGGACACGCAGAAATAACGCTCTGGGTGGAAGATAAAAACCACCTCCAGATGCTCTGTGCACATTGATCATGAGATAATAAAAGCCACTAATATTTACTGCAGAAGTGGAACGTGCTAGGCACGGCTCCAGGGCCTTTAATACACTAACTCATTTAAAGAGGCGTCTCAGACTCGGGAAGTTGAGAATGTAGGGGCAGCGTGTGTGAGAGAGTTGAAATTTGGTTATAGAAGGTGCGTAGGGGATCCCACCCCGCACCCAGAAAGCAGGAGCTTGGGGCCCAATCAGAATGCTTCTAATTGGCTGTGTGACTCCAGGCAGGCCCCTTGCCGTCTCTGGGCTCCAGTTTTTCCCATGTGTAAATGCTCAGGGTCCGTGAGTGACTTGGTGGAATGAGTGGGTCTCCAAAGCATTTGTCACACAGAGTCATGGCACCATTTTTAATTACAAGTGACGCCGTGGCTTTGGCCTCAGTTGTCCTTAAGTCACTGTCGGGACAGCTTGCTGTACCAGCGACAGCCCTGAGGCCGAGACTGCCCGTTACGGGAGGCACAGTTCCTGTGTCGCCTCAGCCCCTCTCCACAGTGGCCTCAGAGCTGCACTGCCTGGCTGTCCTGCCCTGTCCTGTGGGGCCCTGCTCTAGGAAGAGAGGGCTCTGTGCGGGTGTGGGGAAACAGGGCTCTCCTCGGCCGCTCCCCTGCCTCAGCCTCTGCTTTCCCTGCCTGTCTCTCTGACCCAGGGCTGTGTGCAGCTTTCTTCTGGGGTCTCTTCCCTCCCAGCCTCCAGAGCCTCACTGGGCAGAGTCACAGGCCTAGGCTGGCCTCTAACACTTGCCTTCCTTTCTCCTGTCTGTCTGTCTGTCGTCTGTGTCCTGGGCTGATCTACAGCGACCAAGCTGCAGCTACGTGCTGTGCACGGTGCTCCTGTCCCTTGCAGTACTTCTGGCCGTGGCTGTCACGGGCGCAGTTCTCTTCCTGAACCATGCCCATGCACCGGGCACGGCGCCCCCACCCATCGTCAGCACAGGGTCTGCAGGGGCCAACAGTGCCCTGGTCACCGTGGAGAGGGCCGACAGCTCCCACCTCAGCCTCCTCATCGACCCTCGCTGCCCTGACCTCACTGACAGCTTCGCCCGCCTGGAGGGTCTGCAGACCTCCATGCTGCGGGCACTGAGTGAGCAGCAGGCACAGCCGAGGCTGGATGGTGCCCCCGAGCTGCTGGACGCACTGGCTGACCAGCTGCCCCGGCTGCTGGCCCGGGCCTCCGAGCTGCACGCTGAATGCGCTGGCCTACGTAAGGGACACAGCATGCTGAGCCAGGGCCTCAGCACCCTGCAGAGCGAACAGGGCCGCCTCATCCAGGTAAGAGTGGCATCTGCGTATGCCGTCTGGTAGAGGGTGTCTTGATTTGAGGGGTGGGGCCGCCACCGGTCCCTGTGCTGAACATGTCATGTCTGTAATGTCGCTCAGTCTCCAACCTGGGCCTCGTGCTTTCCAGCTGTGGAGGGCTGTGTTCTCACATCCACGGCCAATATCCCAACCCAGCTTTCCTTCCACACACTTTCCTGGTAACCCTGCAGCCTTGTAGACCCAGCACTAGAGGGGCCGGCCCCCAGGCCCCCTGAGGGGCTGTGAACTGCAAGCCAGGCGGGCATTGCCTCTCTGCCCACCCGCTATCATTAGCTGCAAACTGAGGGAAGGTGGGGTGGGGCTTGCTCCCAGTCTCCTGAAGCGAGGAGCTGCACCCCTACCTCAACCCTTGTCACGGCTTTGTTCTGAGCTGCCCACGGCTTTCCAGGGATGCAGAGCCATCGAGGGGAACCCAGACAGGCCCTTGGCCTCCCAACTCCTCCCTGCCCACCCCTACCAGGTACCCAGCCAGGTTCCTGCAAAGATCCAGTGGGGTCGGGGGACAGGTTTTGGCCTTGGCTCTTCCATCAGCCCCTCAGCACCAGCTGGATCTCCTTGAAGGAGGAGGGACCCAGGACTGCCTCGTTTGTGTCTGCTGGTTTCCAGAACAAAAAAAAATTGAGGCTTGGAAAGCAGTGCTAGTGTGTCTTCAGTCCCTGCCCAGCCTCCAGCCCGAGGGCGCTTCACCTCTCCGACTCAGCCTTAGGGCTAAAGTCAACCCCATCCCACTAGCCACCCCAGCTGTTTCTATGTGCCTCTCATCCGGACACCCAAGGTGACCAGGCACTTGGTCACCCATAGCTCATGAGCGGTTACCCTCTTCCCTCCCCCCTTGAAGACCGCAGCTGGAGAAATTATAGCCCTTGTCACTCTGTCTGGGTGACTGACGGGGTGATGGGTCCCCTGGGTTGGGGGACATACAGCCAGCTTCCTGCTGCCCCTCCCCCGGGCCCATCAGCACAACAGGAGATTGCCAGGCTCTGGGTGACAGGAACCCCACTTTGCCTTCCCTGAACTCAGCCTTGATGAGCTGGCTACCTACATCCCTCTGAGCTGGAATGTCCCCCATGAAATGCAAGATGGATAGCATCCCCAGTCTCCAGGGCAGGAATTCATCTGGTACAGGACCATCCAAGATGTCTTCTGTCCTTCTGGATCATTCCGAGACAACCATCCATGTCCCCTTACCCTGTCTTGTAGTTCCTCCCCACAACCCTTGGTTCTGTCCCCAAAGCCATGATTGCCAGAGGTCTGTTGCTCACTGGCCCAGCTAAAGTTAGCAGTTCTGCCTGTTGACTTGTGGGGTCCATCTTAGCTTCGGGCGATCTTGGGGGGATCACATCTCTAGGTAGGTTCTTCCCACCTGTAAAATGGGGAACCAGGCCAAGCCGGAGGGATTGCTGGTGTTCCCGACTGTGCAGGGCTCAGCAGGCCTCTAGCATGTCAGCTCCGTCTGTAGGCTGTTCATAGGGAGCCACCACTGAAGACCCTGTGTGAATGGAAGTGATGGTCCACTTCCCCAGGGGCGGGTGCCTTTTTCAACCCACTCTGCAGAGGGGCAGACTGAGACTCAGTGGTGAAGGGGCCTGGTAGAAGCTTGGTCACTGCTAAGCCTCGCTGGAAGCAGCTGCCCTGATTTCACGGCCTCTGGTCACCGCCAGCTCCTCTCGTGATGGTTTGCGCGGCTCAGCGAGCAGAGACTGACTCCCTATTAATTCGGGGCAGGTTTATGTGTTTCAGTGGTAATCATTTGCTAGTTTAAACCGAGGTCTCCTCTGCCTGCCAGGGAGAGGGAGGGGCCGGGCCCGAGCTGCTGAATGTCACGGCCACGGTGACTCAAAAGGATGGGCTGTGCGGTGAGATTTGCTGAGGGGTCTTTGCTACCCCCTCATCAAGGGCTGCCTGTGCCCCCGCAGGGGCTCCATGGAGCCTGACCACAGGTCACTGTGGTCAGGGCTGCAGGCACCCCTGCCACCGCAGTACTCCTGGAGACCACTGAATCACCTGCTCAGCAGAGGGGAAACCAACAAGGCCCGGAGCTTCGCAGGGCCCTGCCTTCGGACGAGCCGAGAATCATATTTTGTAAACTGCTGGCTGGGTGTATTTCTTTCTCTTTCTCCGATGGGCTATTATCTGGCGAGTGACAGGTTCAGTGAGCAGGACCTGGCTCACTCCATGCTGCCTGCTGCCACCCCCTCCCCCTCCACTGGGCCCCATAGCCTCCTGAAGCCCAGGGGGAGGATGCAGGGGACCCCCACACCCTTCTGGCAGCCAGCACAGTAAGAGGTTCCCGAGGAACAGACGGACGGACGCTGCTCTGTTGAGCTCCAACCCATGGGACAGTGATGGAGGGGAGGGTGGGAGGGGCGTGTGTTGCCTCACGGAGCTGTGGTGTTCTGGAGAACAGGTAGTTATAGTCCACCCCAGAATGATGGACGGGTCCCCACCCTGGTCTGCAGACAGGGGGTGGAGGGTGTCACACAGCTGACGTGAGCCACCACCCACTCGGGGAAGACCACGGCCTGGCGCCCACCCACACCCGGGTTGGTAGTACAGTGGTCGCTCGCTCCTTTCCTGCTGTCCGCCCTGAGGAGGAGGGACGAATCCCGGTTCCCAGGGGTATGGCAGGGCCTTTCTCCTTCTAGACTTCAGATTCCCTCTGGGAACATGGAGGTTACGGCCTCAAGTCCTGGCTCTCCGGAGCAGGATGGGGCCCTGTGAGGTGATGGACAGCAGGCATCTATGGAGACTCCCTGCAAATGGGGGCCGGGGAAGGCAGCGAGGGCACCCTCGTTTGGGGCCCAGTTTGAACGCGGTGACTCCTGCCCAGGCTCTCTGCCCTTCCCAGGACTCGGGCCCGTTTTCCTCAGTGCAGGGGACCACCCCTGCCTTAGCCTCCTCGTGTGGCTGGAACGCACTAAAGCCAGGGGGGTAAAGCGAGGACCCCAGTGGGGCCGGATGCCATGCTGGTGCTGTGTGTGTGGCCACAGGTCCCCACAGGAGCTAGGCTAGGGATGTGACGATAACTCATTTCTCTCCTGACAACCAAGGCTTGCTAGGTTGTGGAGTGTGGTTCAGTGGGTAGTGCTTGCCTGTGAAGCAGGAAGCGCCAGGCTGGGTTCCCAGCATGTATTGGGTCTGGTGTCACTTGTCTGTAATCTCCACACTGGGGAGGTGGAGGCAAGAGCCATCCACGTGACGCCCTGTCTCAATGAGAGAATGAAGACGGGTTCAGGCGGGGAGCTGGTTGGTGGGTGACCTCAGGCTGATATCTGCTCTGCCTTTTCCTCCACTGTCCCCATCAGCTGGGCTGGATGCAGAGAAGTGGCCAGGCCTCCGCCAGTGCCCTTGACCCCTCAAACTGCCATGGACATGACCCTGAGGCCAGGGAAGCAGGGGTGGGGGAGGCTTTCCTGGCGGGGGCGCCCCAGGTCTGTGTCCTCTCTAATGTCTTCTGTGCTCTGCAGCTTATTTCTGAGAGCCAAGGCCACGTGGCTCACCTGGTGAACTCCGTCAGTGATGTCCTGGAGGCTCTGCAGAGGGAACGGGGCCTGGGCCGGCCCCGCGTCAAGGCTGACCTTCAAAGGGCCCCTTCCAGAGGAGCCCGGCCCAGAGGCTGCGCTAATGGTGAGTGCCGTGGGCCTGCTTTCTCTGGGTGGGTGGCTCCGGTGCCCAGTTCCAGGGAGGAGAGGGTTGTCTGTCACCTGCCCCTTGACTCTGATAGACAAGCTGCTGCTGTAGAAACGGACTTCCTGTGGGCCAGGTGACTCAGAGCCTGACCTGTTGAGACATGAGCCCATTTTCCAGATGAGGAAAGCAAGGCCCCACGGATTCACCGGGGCTGAGAGTTCATGCTCTTGACCTCAGGTGGACAGGGTTGTCAGAGAGAGCTGGGGACCTCTTTGGCGGAAAGAGATGACAGCGTCTGGGCCTCCGCCACGCTCACGTGGCTCTCTTGTCTCAGGCTCTCGGCCCCGGGACTGCCTGGATGTTCTCTTGAGTGGACAGCAGGATGATGGTGTCTACTCGGTCTTCCCCACTCACTACCCAGCCGGCTTCCAGGTCTACTGTGACATGCGTACTGACGGCGGAGGCTGGACGGTGAGTCTGCCCTGTGCGTCCGTCCGTCTGCAGAGCAGCCCGCCCAGCATGCTCGGCCTGGCTCCAAACTCTGTCCGCTCCCTGTAGACACCAGGGGAGTCTGCCCTCAGGGAGCAGGAACCAGGGAAGAGGCACCATTGCTCCTGAGCCCTGAGCCCCCACACCTCACCTTAGTTCTCAGGGTGTGTTTCGGAGCGGGGTGAGGCCTTGCGATGGAGATGCCCAGGGACCTGTCACTCACGTAGACTGAGTAACACCTCTTTATCTATCGGGGTAGGCACACACTGGGGAGGAAGAAGGGGCTCAGCCCTGTTCCTCCCCATGTCTGCCTGATTGGGCAGTGGAAGAATGGGATGCTACCAGGCAGCAGGGGACGGTGAGCCACAGGTACCCTGAGGTTCCTCCAAGCTGGGGGAGCTGGTGCATCCCTCAAACCTAACCCGTTGTCTACAGAGCACCCGGTGGCGGGAAATAGAGCCTTGGGCTCAGCAAAGGCTCTGACGTCTGCCGGAGCCACTGTAGGGGAATAAGACAAAAAGAGGCAGGGTGTGGCTTTGTCTCAATAACTGGGCTGTTCTCGATGAAATCTGAATTTCACAAATGTTACATATTCCTCAGCACTACTCAGAGGACATTAAACAACCACCAGCAGCGGGCAGGCACTGTCCCGTGCAAAGCGACCTGCTGTCCGGGTCTAGAGCTGAGGGTGCTGCAGGAAATGTCTGCGATTCCTTCCCCACACTAGGAGGGTCAGACCGCTGGAGAGCCTCCCAGGATCCCTTGCACCATTGACTACCGTGTGCAAATTTAAAAATGCAAATCCCACAGTTTAATCCCAGCAGAGGCAGAGGCTGGTGGATCTGTGAGTTTGAGGCCAGCCTGATCTACAGAGCAAGATCCAGGACAGCCAGGGCTACAGAGAAGCCCTGTCTCAAAAAACAAAAACAAACAAAAAAATTAGCTTCACGGTATTAGAGCTATATAAACCAAAAATAAATAAATGCAATGCAAAACCCTCTTCCTTTATGCAGAATGAAGTGCTGGCTTGGCCTGAGGAAGCCTTGCTCTGTTGCTGGGTTCTCCCGAACAGTGGAGCACCTACTGTGCGCTGCGGACCTTGGAAGTGTTGAGATGGGGAAGCCCCAGCCCTGTCCGGTCAAGGGGCTTAGCATGTGAGGGAATCAGGCTGGAAGTCGCTGTGGCAGCCTGGAGGGGGGGAGGGGCTTTTGAGCACAGGCTGTGAAGAGCAGGTGACATTCTCAGGGCACAGAGTCAGCTGGGGTGTGTGGCACAAGAGGAAGTGAGGCTGGAGTCACCGACAGGCACGGGGGACATGGTGGGTGCTGGGGAGGGAAGGAATGAGCCTTCAGCAGTGGTCTGACTGTGTTCTCCGTCAGAGCTGGGACACTCACTCAAGAGTCTGCAGATGTGGGTGGAGTTCAGTTGACAGCATTGCCTTCTGCTTAGGAGGCAGTGTGACCTATAAGTAATACCTGGGCTCCGCCATCTATTGACTGGTCTGGCAATGATGTGGCTTTTGCTGTATGATCTTAAGTAAATTACTTTAGTTCTCTGAGCCCCGATTCTTCACAAGATTTTTTTTTTAATATCTTATGTATTTATTTATTTATTTTAGTTTTTCAAGACAGGGTTTCTCTGTGTAGTCCTGGCTGTCCTGGAACTGGCTTTGTAGACCAGGCTGGCCTCGAACTCACAGAGATCCGCCTGGCTCTGCCTCCCAAGTGTGCGCCACCTCTGCTCGGCCATTTCTTATTTTAACTCTGCACTTGTGTGTATTCATGGAGGCATGTGCATGTGAGTACCGGTGAAGATGCACCAGATCCCGTGAGTTATAATTGTGTAACACCTGATGTGGGTGCTGGGACTCAGTCCTCCGCAAGGTTCTTACCCACTGAGCCACATCTCTGGCCATAGCATTAGAGCTTTTAAAGGCACGCACCAGAGTGGCTGATAGGAGGAAAGGAATGTGCTGGAGGGAGACAGGACCCTGGAGATGCCAGGTCAGTGTCACTCGGCCAGGAACACTTCCAGGCCAGGCTGGGGTTGGCCTGATATGAGCTCCAGTGTCCCAGGCTGCTGCCACGGAGGGAGTGCTGGACACTGTGGCTTCGAAGCTGCCCAGCCTGTAACTCAGTCACCTCCCCTGATGGGGTGGGGTCACATTGCCGCCCTAGAACCCGTGTCTAACAGTTTTAATCTGGCTGTGATTCCCCTGCACTCCAGCCAAACCTCCAAAGCTGAGGAGATACAGAGTCAGCAAAGTGCCTGCCCCGCGAGCTTGACAGCCAGCGTCCATACCCAGCACCACGTAAGAGCTGCATCTGGCTGCTCAAGTCTGTAGCCCCAGCCCTGGGGAGGTTGACAGAGTTCCCGGAGCTTGCTGCTCAGCTAGTCTTGCTATCACTGAGCTCCAGGCTCAGGGAGAGGCCTTGACTCAAGAAAATAAGGTGGGGTGCCATTGAAGAAGACACCTGAGGTCACCCTGAAGCCTCCATAATCACAAGCACGTGCACATGCACGCGAGCACACACACACACACACACACACACACACACACACACACACACACACAGCCTTTGTTTGTTTATTTATTTACTTTATTTTTGCTTTTTGAGACAGGACAGCCCTGGCTGTCCTAGAACTCACTCTGTGGATCAGGCTGGCCTGGAACTCACAGAGATCCACCTGCCTCTGCCTCTCAGTGCTGGAATTAAAAGCGTGCGCCTCCACCGCCTGGCACACGCACAGCTTTTTGTTAAAGAAATTGCACCGTCCACTTCTCTGTTTTTAACTTCTCTGTTTTTTGAGGGTAGTGAGGGTTCTAGATCAGGATGACCTGGAAACCAGTCAGGGTCTTTACCTTGGGCTGACCCTAGGGACGGCACAGGCCACCACAGTAACCCAGATGTTCAACACCACTCCACCTCACGTCAGGAAAGAAGGCTGCATGGTTCAGGGAGATACAGGCCCAGCCGCTCCCAATGTGGCCAGCCAACCTCTCTTCGTGTCTCTGACCTTGGCCTCGCACAGGCTGCTTCCACTGCTTACCCAAGACCTTTGGCATTACTATTTTTGGTGTTTGAGGTCTAGGCCGGTGGATGGCCAAGGGGGGAGTTTAAAACCAGCTGAAGTTACAAAGCAGAAGGGGTAGGGACTTGTAGGGCAAGGCAGCGTGAGTCAGCTTCTTGAAAGGGGTCGGTGTCCCCAGCAGAGGGGAGAGGGAGATATGGGGGCAGAGGGAGCAGAGAGGGAGCGTGGCAAAGCCTGCAATTAGGAGCCAGTCTGAGTGCAACCAAGGATCCCTGGAGACCCCGAAGATGGACACATCTCTAAACTTGTCTTCAGGCTCTAGGGGAGAGCTTTTAAATGTACCGGATCCGTGTCTGGGGTTAAAAGCTCTTTTGTTTTTCTAACTGCAAAGAGGCTGAGTTATGGCCTCTGCCTCTGGGATCCCTAGGCAGGCAAAACGGCCAGGAGCCCCCGCCAGGCCCAGAAATCAGATTTAAGGGTTCGGCTGGGCTTGTGCCTGTCCGAGGCCCTGCCATGCCGTGCATCTGTCTTCCACTCAGGCTGACTTGGATCCAATCTCCTGGGAAGTCAGTCAGGTCCTGGGCCTGGTAATTCCTTCGGCCTTGGCTTCAGGGACGATTAGCAGGGATGGGTGAGGAACAGTGCCTTTACTTAGACCCAATGCCTGGATGCCTGAATGGGGGCTCTGCCGGAGAGGTCGGAGCGGTCTGCAAAGTGCTTGTGTGGCTGGTAACTGTTCATATCCATTTGGCTTCCGTCAGAAACAATCTTCCCCCAGATGCCTGCGGGCACCTGTCAGGATCACCCACCCCCCTGACACACAGAATCTCCCGGACGCTCAATTGTTGTTTGGGAGGGTGCTGGTTTCTCAGGCCATCCATCCCCATTAGGTTCCCCATCAAAACGGCCCAGCTTCGGGCGCCAACACTGCGTGGTCATCCCCAGCAGACTGATGCTGTGCCGGGCCCCAAGCCCGAATGGACTCCTCCGTCACAGCCTGTGCTCCGGGGACTGGAGTGGAAAGCATGGGGCTCAGACTGAGAGGCACGTTGCAGCCAGAATACCATTTCCTGCCTGGCATTACCCTGTGCCTCTTCTACTCCAAAGGCCAGCAGGGTAGCCTGGAGATGGCAAGAGGTTTGCCTCTGCTACCCAGCCAGCCTGGCCAGGGAAAATCCAGGCCTCCTGAGGCCAGTCAGTGCAATTAATTGCTACTGAACAATTAATTGAGCACCAGCCAGCAGGGAGCCAGCTGGAACTGAGGCAGGGTCGCTCTCAGCTGGGAGGCAGATGGACTAGCGAGCTGGCTTGTGTCAAGGCTGAGGGTCACTGGAGAGGCCCCGATCTCAGTCTAGAGCCGCGCTGCTAGAGGGTAAAGTGGGGCCCGGTGGGCGCCGCAAGGCTTGTTCCGGGTCTAAAGCGGCCTCAGGCTGCGGCATACCTGACGTAAGAGGTCTGCGTCAGGACTGTGGGTGACAGGCCGCGGGGCTGCGCTCTTTCTGGGGCTCAAGTGAGTTCTCAGTGTCACAGGGTCCCCACAGGGAGGGGTGCCCCTGACAGGGAGTGGACTAAAACTGAAGCATGAGTTCCATGGACCCCGAGTCCTTGCTTCTGGGGGCTGGGGTGACCTGTAGGAGCAATGCCACTTGGGGCTCTTTGGGGTTGGAGAGGCCTCAGAGCGGATGGGTAGACGACGTTTCAAGGTGACCTTTAGGCTCACCTGGCCCCTGACGGTGACTAAGCCTCTCTGAGATGCCCCATGCTCACTCCGGGGGTGGGGACATGGGGCGCAACGTCAAGGACGCTGCTGAACTTGACACCTGCCCCTGCCCCAGAAAATGAGGAAGGGTAGCCACGGGTGATCTTGTGACCCAGATCGGAGACCTTCCTCACTAGGCCCAGACCAATGCTTGCCATGTCCTCTGGAGGCCTCTCTGACCACACTGACC